CATTATCCCGCACACACTTTTCTGGGAGTAAATAATTTTGGATTCAGTGGGAATTGCTTTTGAGTAACCACAACTACAAATAAGTAACTAGTTCTTTTGGTTCACACATGCACTGTTTGGTGACTTGAGTGAAGTCCCGTAAATACATCTGTAGCCACAAATGCACTCCATCTCCTTAATCCTTCTTCCTGCTATTTGCAAGCTTCAGTTCTTCCAGTTGGAGGATGGGCTTGGGACCGCTGGTCTGCAGAGCAGGGGTTGTGGAGGCTCCCCATGGAACGGGTGATGGTGCCGAGACACGGCTGAAGTAGAGGAGAAATGTGTGTTTAGCCTTTAGGGTACCAAAGCCTTTTGCCTGCAGACCATGTATGTGTGAACTTTTGAGCGCTGCCGAAGGGTTTGTTTGCAGAAGTGGTCCAGAAGGAGCAGACAAATAGCTTCCCATTACCTTTTGACATGCTCATGGTGGGCAAGTTGTGAGTGGAGCCAGCTGGAGCGGGGGGTCAGACTAGATGGCCCATGAGACCCCTTCTGACTCGCTCTGTTTCTATGTTTTTGCCCAGTCTTGCCTTGCTTTGCCTGGATATGGTTCTTTGGAGGGACTTCCAGAAGAAGGGTTGTTCCCATCCCCTGCCCCGTTCTCTGGAGATGCAGGCGACTGAACCGGGGGTGGGGGGGGCACTTCTCCATGCCCCATGGGTGCTCTGTCACTGTGCTGAGGGCCCATTGTCTCCTGAAGGGCTGTGCAGAAGGCCCTTGTGGATTTGCTGTCAAGCTGAGAAGGTTCCCCTGAACCGCAAACCTGCCTACCTGTCTCTCGCATTACAAAAGCCACGAGAAACAGCTGCTGGCTCTGGAGTTAGGCTGCTTAGGTGGAGATGGTTCAGGACACCCCTTCCCCGATTTGGTCCCCTTCAGAACTGTGGCACCACAGTGTCCATCACCTCTGCTTAGCTGGGGTTGATGGGGATTGTGGTCCAACACAGCTGGAGGGCCCCAGATCGAGGAAGGATGGGTCTGGGGTGGGTTTGTGTGTCAAGTCACATTCTGGTCTGGCACGGCCAGGAGATTTACTCAAAGGCAGCTTTTTCTGTCGTTCGCCTGGTCCACCCTGCACTCCCTGTTTGAAGTTTGCTACTTGGTGGACTTGGGCATTTTAGTGAAAAACCGCCCAGAGCACTTCCAGAGCACTGGGGTCCCTGGTCTTCTTTGGGTGGGAGGCACCTGTGGAGCAGCTACATGGGTAACTCACAAAATGGCTGTCGCGAGGGGTGCTGGAGTATTTGCTCGGTCATAAAATGGCTGCCGCAGGGACACGGCTGGCCCAAGAGCTGCCATTTCCCAGGAGCTAAACTGGTATGACTGGAAAAGAATCAGTTGCCCAGTCAGAGGTGGGAGTGAGGGGCCATTCTCACAGCATCTTTCCAACCCAAACCAAGTGCACCCCCTGTCCCCTGGGTTTGCAGCAGACTTGCCTTTTTATTTTTTGAAAAGCCTGGATGCAATAAAAATTCGGGAAGGAAGGAGAGATTTCGGGTGCCGGAAAAGACATTTGTGTTCAGCTCTAGTGCTCACATTCCATCTAACAGAGATGCCAGACTAGGTATTCAGATCATTCGTTTTCTGTTTCTCTCTTTGTTGTCTGTTTTTCTCTTCTATAAACATACAAGCACCTCTTGAAAACACTAAGTACCCCCCGTTTCTCATCTGATCCAGCTGGGATGCACTTGACCTAGAACAGAGGGCGGGGGATGTGTGCTTGTTATAAGATTGGAGATTGATTACTCACCATGTGATGAGGAACAAGAGTACTCGGGGATTAACAATGCCTTCTGGCACTCGCCTTTTCTGCAAAGCACAGAAACAGAGAGACATGGAAATGGAGCAAGTTGGAAGGGGGCTCCTGGGCCATCTAGCCTGACCCCAGGCTCCAGACGGCTCTGCTCATGACACGCCTACCGTGTGCATGTCCAGCTTGTCCTTAAACACCCTCACCGTTGGGGCCTCAAACACCTCCCCTGGAAGCCCAGTCCATGCCCAAAACATGGGCAGGGGAAGGGGGAATGGGCTTCATTGGAGCAGCTTCTAACTTTCTTGACCTTAACATGGCTGTGCCTGCAGTTTTGACAGGGAACATGGGAAGAGGTTGCCGGAGGAGAATCAGTGCTGTGTTTTCTTTTCCCCAGAAATGCCCCGAGTGGCAAGATGGCTCAGGGTGGGAATGTCTCCCTGTGCAGGGATTAATCCATACTTCCAAATCTTCCTGTGTCCAAATCTAGACCGGGATGGGGGTTGTTTTGTTTGGCTGGAAGACATTGGAAGCTCCTGTCCAGGAATCAGGAGCCTGAGGGAAGGAGATAGAAAATGGGGCCCTAAAGGGGACGGACAAGGACTGCTGTTTGTTGAAAAGTTGGGTTGGAAGAAGATGCCTGTAGGTTTGTCTGTTGGAATCACAGCACTGTGGAACAGTAGCGGTATATGCTAGGTTTAGGGGCTGTTCTGGTTTTAAAACACATTAATTCATGTGCCCATGTCTGCAAAGCCGAGAGTATTGAAGAAAAACGGATTGTCATGTTGTTCCTTTTGCAAGAATTCAAAGCAGCATCTCCTCTCCAGTTTATTCTCATTGCAACATCCCTGAGAAGTGGATCCAGTTGAGGGCCCGTGGCTGGCCCAAAGCCATGCAGGAACCTATGGGGCTGAGTAGGGATTAAAGCCCAGATCTTCTAGCTCAGTCTAACATGCTAACTAGTGTCCTGTTTTTCACAGCACTTGGTGCTCTGCCTTCAGACGACTCCCAGGACAATTGCCAACCCCTGTCACTTGTCCCACCATCTGATACTGAAAGCTAGACTGCCCCTGTACTTGGAGGATCTACAACCATCTTTGTGGATAGTATTCATACACCCACCAACTCTAAAAATCTGCTGCTAGTGGGCTGATTCATTCTGCTGAAGGTTTATTGATTCTTAGCCTTTAAGAACATCTGTTGTTGGCTGCAGCTTCTGATGTTCCATTTTCAATGTATAGTTTGTGGCACTGCTTTTTAAGATTCAGAACATCTTTCTCCACTTTTCTGGTTGGCTTTTCCCTGTTATTGCCAACCCCTTTTTTAAAAAAATGTTATTGTTCTCTTAAAAGAAATAAAGTACAGAAAGGAAAAATATATGGAAGAAAAATAAGAGTGCCAAGAGAGCCTACACAAATATAACATACACATTCATAACCTGCAAATCCCCCAACCGCCCCCAAAATTCTATATTTTTGTCAGCAAGTACTTTGGTGAAGCTCACAGAAAAGATAGAGTCCCCTGAACTAACACATTTTTCCAATCAATTTGAATCAATTATAAATAATCAACAATATTTGAACGTGCTTCCTTTTGTTCTGTAGTAACTAAACTGCATATAATAGAATTTCCATTTATCATTAAATTCTTCAGTCAGTCTTCTTTTTCCATAATGGGTTAATTTTCCCATCACTGCATGCTCAGCCAACTTATTTTTCCAATCTTCAGTGGTAACACATCCTGCTGATTCCCATTTAGAAGCAATTGTAATTCTTGCTGCACTTGTGATCTATTTAAACAACTCTGCTATTGCCAACTTTTTAGGTGTTTCTGAATAGAAAAGTACACCATGTTAAATTACTGTCAGGGCAGCCCTACTGGATCAGACCAGAGGTCCATCTAGCACCGATCCTTGTTCTACCAGTGGCCAAAAAGAAGCCCCAGTGAGCAGACCCCAAGCATCTGGTGCTCTGAGGTAGACTTCACTTGCATGTGGAAGCTTTACTGCAACAGCCCTGCTGGATCAGGCCAGTGGTGCCAACCACTGCTAGCCAGATGCTTTGAGAAGGTCATCAGCAGAGTGGGAGATGAGCCACTGTATTATTTATTTATTTATTTAAAGCTTTTCTATGCAGGTAACGCAGTGGTTTAAACTGCTGTGCTGCTGGGCTGGTAGATTGAAAGGTCGCCGGTTCGAATCTGCACAACGGGGCGAGTCCCCGTTGCTCCGTCCCAGGTCCTGCCAACCTTGCAGTTCAAGAGCATGCAAATGCAGGTAGATAAAAAGGTGCCACTTCGGTGGGCAGGTAACAGTGTTCCGTGCACCTTGGTGTTCAGTCATGCGGCCACACGACCACGGAGACCGTCTGCGGACAAGCGCCGGCTCCCTCGGCCAGGAAACGGAGATGAGCGCCACCCCCTGGAGTCAGGCATGACTGGACTTACCGTCAAGGGGAAACCTTTACATTTTTATCCTACCCTTTGCAGTGCCTCAGGGCAGTAATACAATAAAATAAATGACTGAGATACAGCATCCAGATAATAATAATAAAAATCCAACCTTTAAAACACTTTAAAAAAGTGGTGCTCATCTCAGTTTCCTAGCCGAGGGAGCCAGCGCTTGTCCGCAGACGGTCTCCGGGGTCATGTGGCCGCATGACTAAGCACCGAAGTGCACAGAACGCTGTTACCTGCCCACCAAAGTGGCACCTTTTTATCTACCTGCATTTATGCTTTTGAACTGCAAGGTTGGCAGGAGCTGGGATGGAGCAACAGGACTCGCCCCGTTGTGCAGATTCAAACCGGCGACCTTTTGATCAACCAGCCCAGCAGCACAGCAGTTTAAGCCACTGTTCCACCTGCATCCCCTAAAAACACTACTAACTTATAAAATAATGGGGAGATTAAAAGGTCCTTTGACATGCTGCTTAAAATAGGAGGAATTTTGGGTCCTGCTGTTGGGACACAGGGCCCAGAATAACTTAAAGCTCTTGGTACCATCAGTGAAGCATTTGGAGGGGCTTTTGCAAAAGGAAGTGGGGATTGGACAAGATTTGGGGTCCTGTGCGTTTGGGTCCTGGCATTCTGCATCTGACTTAGAGCTTGGTGTTCAGTGGGGTAGCTTGCCCCTGCAGCTGGAAGTTCTACTCCATGCAGCTTTGGGATGAACTAACCAATCCTGCATGTCTTGTCTTTGCTCTTCTCTTTGCAGGCGAGCGCCCGTTCCCATGCACCTGGCCCAACTGCGAGAAGAGGTTCGCCCGCTCCGACGAGCTGGCCCGCCACTACCGCACCCACACCGGCGAGAAGCACTTCGCCTGCCCGCTGTGTGAGAAACGCTTCATGCGCAGCGACCACTTGACCAAGCATGCCCGGCGGCACCCCGCCTTCCGGCCTGGCATGGTCCGGTGGCCAAAGCGCCACAGTGCCTCCCCCAGTGACTGTCCCACCAGTACCTAGGCTGGCCGCCCCGTCCTGGGCAGCTGCACTCTTGATGGCCCAACGCCTCAGACGTCCGGCGATGTTGCCACGAAAGGAGCAGGGCAGAAGGCCTAGTGGCTACAGGGCTCCAAGCTGGGTGGCCTGACCCAGAGAAGATTCTCAGGGGCTGCTCCAAAGCATCTTCTGGACTGCCTTGCTCAAGAATTACACCTCCTTCTCACGGCTGGGTGGGGGGACATTGGGATTAAAATACTGGCCCCTGCTCTTTCCAGCTTTCGGGACCACCCTGTACTGAGCTGTGCCGGGCCCTCCACCCCAAGCGGGAGCTCCATCGCTCAATAAGCTGGGGATGGAAAAGCTCACGGCCAGGACCCAGTCCGACCCTCTGGGTGTCCCAGGCTGGACCTGCAGGTACTGGCTGGCTTTCCTATTTGCCTTGATCCTTCTTTCCTTTGAGAAGTCAAATGCCTTTGCGGAGGCTCCGTTTGGGGTAGGAAATGCATTAAATGTGGTCGTTTGGACCCTGCCCCGTTGGCCATCAGGCACCCCTGCCCTGTGGCGGGAGTCCCCGGAGAGTTTCGCTCAGCAGTTCCTGCAGCCTTGCTTAAAGCCGTGTGATGTGTTTTCCAAGTGAGCTTGTGCCTCTACTTCTGTACCTTCTGGGTTGCTTTCCCAGATGGTCCCTCCTGGCCCGTCGTGACACAAAGGGGCTTTCTCCCAGTGTCTGTGACAGGTATCCTAGAGGAAGACATCCTCTTGGGGGAATTTTCACTCTGTTCTTTCCTTTCACTTTCGATCTATTGTAACTTGTAGATGGAAGCTTTTCCTTAGTGCCTGCCATCCTCGGTTCTCAGGAAACGAGAAAGCATCCAAGGCGTTTGTGGGCCACCCGGTCCCTCTTGCAGAGGACTACCCCATGTTATTTGTGCAGCAAGAGGTATTCCGCTCCTGGCTATGGAGGATCCATTTCTGGCTGCCACAGCTCACAGTAACCCTGGCCTTGGGGGGTTCAAAACCTTAGTCCTGATCCTTTGCCATTCCTCCCCACCAACCTCTGAGCCAAGGTAGCCAACCCTACCTTTTCTGCAGTTTCTCTCATTCTGCAAGGTAGAAATGCTTTCCCTAAATCTTTTTGACTGGTAGGAACAACTTTATACACAAACAGACTGTTGGTTTTAATCCCATCCATCTTCCCTTTTCCCTCCGGTCCTGTCCACCTCCCCAAACTTTTCCAAAACAGAATTTGACTCTTGGGCTCAATGTGATTCAAAACTCCTGCTTTTTTCTTTTTTAAAAAAATGCAAGCCAAGTGCCCTGCTATCCATTCTTGAATCCTTTGATGGTGATATTGATCTGCAAGATACTCAGATTTTATGAGGAGAAAGAATGGACGATGTTCTGGACTGCTTCTTGAATGCAACATCTTTTCCGTGAAGACGCGTCCAAACCTTGTCTCCTGTGCGTCCACCCCACTGACTGAGCCGGTTGTTTTTCTCCAAAATATTTTCCAAGCAAAAGTTGGGGAGTTGAGCAACAGAAAGAGATGGATCTGGGTGTGCAGGGATGCTCCGTGGCTTATACGTCAAGAGGGGGTGTGATACTGTTGCCTTCCCCACCAGGTTGGGGATGTAGTCCAACACCCCTGATTGGTGAAGGCTGCCAGAGGTTTTTCCTCCAGGTCAAACTTTTATTTTATAGAAAGGTTACGGGTGTGTTTGAGCCTTCTTTTGAAAAAATATTTATTTTTTGAACATGGAATCAGGCTAGAAGTAGGGAAATGGTGGGGAGAGAGCAATAGATGACTATTGTCCTTTTCGTCTTGGTGCTTTGGAGAGGGCACGGCTGAGTGTCCAAGTGGAACAAATTTTAAGTGCAATTTAGTACAGCTGAAAGCACTTTTGCCTTGCTGTTATTATTAGGGACCTTGGAACTTGCTATGGATAAGTTTATACCGAGTGCATATCAAGTATATGACTGGGATGAGAAATTGACTCACAGGTTCTTTTCAAACCACAGAGCGCTTTGTGGAGTGGTTGACCCTAAGGGCTCCCTCTTGGCTTCTGCACACAGAAATGTAAGCCCATCTGTTGGCTCTGGGATGCTACTTCTGCCTTACTTTTTTCTCCTCAGAAGGGGATCCTACTCTCTCCAGTTGTGACCCCGCAGGTACAGGCTAGAGCAGTGGTGGCGAACCTACAGCACGTGGGCCGCAGCGGCACGTGAGCCCAGTCGCCCCGGCATCGCCCCAGCAACCGAGCATCGGATAACAGTGCACGCAGGGGCCGTGCGCATGCTCGGAAAGGAGTAATGGTGCCAGGCGATGATGTCACGAGCCGTGACTCATTAGCCGTGACTCATCCGAGCTTTCGCATGGCTGGTCAGTGCGCTGCCAAGGAGATATATAAACAGTGCTTTTTTTGTAAAAAAAAAAAAAAAAAAAGGTGCCGGAACTAGCGTTTTGGGGTCACACTTTTACACAAAGGTCGCCACCGGCAGTAAGCACTCAGCGTGTGACCACACGACTGATCCCAAGCCGAGCAGCGTCCCAAGCCGAGCAGCACCCTCACAATGAGCACGGACTCACACGCAGCCCACAGGCACTATGTTAAAATATATTTGCTTGGACTGGCTTCGCGTTGTTTTTTCTAAACTAAAACCTCTGTATTCGGGTTGTCTTGCGGTGTTGGCACTTTGCGATAAATAAGTGGCTTTTGGGTTGCAGTTTGGGCACTCGGTCTCTAAAAGGTTCGCCATCACTGGCCTAGAGAAAGCAATTAAAGGGAAAACAGGGTTGTCAATGAATGTTTGCAAAGGCCCTGCGTGTGAACCTGTAGAGCTACCACTCAAAGATAATGGCAAGAGGAAGGGTTGGCGGATGGAAAATTTAGGAATTGGCCTTCCCGACCTGAAGCCTGAAACAGTCTCCTTTCTCACCCCAGTACTTTCTGAATTAAACCAGGTCCTTCTATATTCTCACAGTATTGTATAGGAACAGTAGTGTTCCTTCTTTGATCAGGTTCATACACCCTAGGAAAAAGAAGCGAGGGGAAGAAGAATGTAGAGGATTTTTTTTTAAATCCTCATGGTTTTAAAATAGACAATCAAGCAAAGCTATTTTAATAAAGGGAGATCGTTTTAATAATAATACTGAAAAGCTGTACTTACTGCAGCAGTATGACGGGTATTTTTATAACAAGAAGTCCAATCACATTGCAAGTTTTAAGAAAGGGTGGAAATGCTGTATTTTTCTTAAGAGAGCAAATCTCCTCCCCATCCTTCCTCCTCCTCGTCCCTGTAAGAGTTGGATTATATGCAGGAGAGGCACTGCAGTGCTTAAATGCACTTGCAGGTCCTGCTTCTTTTAATGAATTCAGTCTGATCTATTGGTTTCCATGTAGAGTCTGTCAACCCAAATGCCTCAAGGAAAGGATACCTCCATTACAGGGGAAAACAGGTATTTCATGCAACCTCAATCCAAGGCAAACTTCCTTGGGAGTAAGCCCCATTGAACTCGGCAGAGCTTACTCCTGAATAGCCTAGAATTATCCTATATGCCGATTTTAAACAGCTCTTTGTTTTGTCTTGTGCTTGTGAGCCGTCCAGAGGTGCTGTGGCACAATTGGGCGGCATACAAAGGAACAAACCTCAACAAGAACAGAGCACCTACTAAATGGAAAAGCTCTAACGTCGGTGTGTGCAGTAGCACAAAATACAAAAACCTTGGTATTTTGGCCTACAGCTCCGATCAACTAGCAAAACCAGGGATGGCAGCTGACAACTAAAGTGTCTGGAGGGACACTGCTGCCTGTCTTGTGTAAGTGAAGCATTTATTCAGTATGAATATATAGATATTAATTTATGTTCTCATGGGGCTCCTGGACTAAAAGCCAGCAGCTCTGTCACTCAAGTGGTGTATCTGTTCATGTCGTTTTGTGCCAAGTAAGTGTTAAAAGATGTATTAGTCTATTTTTGATGAGCACTGACTCTTTCTCTTTCACTGTACGTGTGTACATGTATCCCCCTGTACTGTTTTTAAATAAAGCCAAAAGTTTTATCTTCAGCCGGTGTCTGTGTGCTGTTTGGACCAATGCAGTCTGTTCATGCCTGCTCCACACTGGGTCTTCCAGCAGTGTGCCTTCTGTGTCCGCTTTCTCCAACCAAGCACCTTCCAGGTGTGTTTATTTATTTATATATTAAAACATGTTTATGCCGCCCCATTCGCCGAAGCCTTGGGGCGGCTTACAACAATAAGTTAAAAAATAATTACTAAGTTAAAAAATATAAACGTGTGTGTTGGATTGCAACCCCCATAAGCCCCAACGAGGCTAGTCCTCATTGTCCCGCACATTTTCCTGGGAGTTATTTTTGCAGAAACAGGGAAGGTCTGTAGCATCTACAGGTCAGGGGGCCGAAAAAATGCTGATCCTGCAGCACTGTGCCTGCCAGTCAGTATCTGCTGCACTGGCCTTGCTGGAATTTGTTTGTTTGTTTGTTTAAAATATTAATATCCCATCCTATATGCGAAGCATCTCAGGACGGCCAAGTCAAAATCAGAATGAAACAAAAAAATGCGACTGTGGAAATTAAAAAACGGTTCAAATTGAAGGTTTAAATTCTTAAAATGGCAGGCAAATAAAAAGGTTTTCACCTGGTGCCAAAAGGAGTATAAAGTTGGCATCAGGCAGACCTCTCTGGGGAGCAAATTCCGGAGTCTGGGTGCCACTGCAGAGAAGGCCCTGCTGCAGGGAGGATTGTCCCCTGCGCCCCCTCTGCAGATCGTAGGGGGCACAGGGGCATATAGGGAAGGAGATGTATCTCAAGCTGTTTAGGGCTTTATAGGTTGATAGATCTGGTTCAGTCTAAGAAGGCAGGTGGAAAGTGCAGTGACTGGTCAACTGCAAAATAGATCTGGATCTAGAAGCGATAATTCTAGGGGGCACCACCCCTTGATCAAGGAAGCCGCAGCAAAGGACAAGGCACTTTGGACAGTGCTCCTTCATAGGGTTCCTGTAAGCCAGAGAAGATTGAGGCATGAAACTACACAGTACAGGTGATGCAAGTAAGACCTGCAGAGACGCCCTTTCTCCGACTATTAAAGGTGCAGAAGCCAGGCCTCCTCTGGCCCCTGGCTACTCTGCTGAGTAAACAGCCCAGCCCTTCCTCCTTGTCATGAAAATGGGTGTCTGCCCATCAGCACCAAAGACAACACTAGGTACATAAAACTCGGCATGCATATTTTTTATAAAGATTTTTATTAAGATTTTAAACTAAAAACTAGAAACATCAATCATCAAATACATTGGATGTACTGGGTCAGCCCCCTGTAACGTATCTTTTTAACATTCTATAATCATATTCAAATTGATTTATAAAAATTTAAAAACATCTTTAAATCCAAGCCAAGTCCCGTTTCTCCAGCCGATCATAAAAAAGGTCCCAAGTTTGGTAGAAGTCAGTATCTTCTCTCTCCTTCAGGAATAGAGTCAATCTGTCCATTTCTGCACAGTCCAGAATCTTTTTTAAAATCAGTTCCTCCGTGGGTAGTTCCTCACTCTTCCAGTATTGAGCAAGTGCAATCCTCGCCGCTGTGATTAAATGTAGCATCAAATACATTTCTTGTTTGCTAATGTTTTCCGGTATAATGCCTAACAAGAAAATTTCAGGTTTAAAAGCTAAGGATTTTTGTAGCATTTGCTCAAGCCATTTATGTATTT